TTGTCAGAGTGAAATCTTCAATAATTGAAAAACTGGAAACCCTTTCAAAAAAGTCCCTGGATCAGGGGTCGTGCTTAGGGGCTCAATGACTGACACAATTGACACATATTTCTCAGAAGTAGCTTGTATAGCTTTTTCATTAAAGCCAAAATTCCCATAATTACAGTTAAGCCAATCAAAAGTGCCAGCAAAAATAAAAGCCAGAGCTATGCTTTCAGCCTGAGGCCCGTCATTGCTGGCACTTTGTCAAGCAGCTATAGAGGAACCGCGGGCCTCACCAGAAAAAGGCTTTTGGCTTTAGCAACACAGCCGATAAGAACAAGGCTCTCAGTGTAGGCTCATTTGATGAAGTTGTGGCCTGCAAAAATTGCTTTTGGGGCCAGGAATTTAGCTCAGTGTTTCTCCTGCCTGCCTCGCAAGTGCAAAATCCTGAGTTTGATTCCTGGTACAAAAAAAAAAAAATTGCTTCTGGCTCAGGGTTTAGCTCAGTGGTGCTGTGTCTGCCTCGTAAGCCCAAGGTCTTGAGTTTGATCCCCTGTATCTATCTATATCTATATCTATATCTATATCTTCTGTTTTTTCTGTTTGAATTTTTTTCTTTAAAAAGTTCCAGAGGCTCATCCTTTAATGCAAGGTGTTTGGTCTGCATGTGGTGAGCAGCTTTGAAGGTTTCATGGCGTCACTGGGCAGCTGGTTGCCACACATTATACCAAGCAGGCTCGTATAATGTGAAGCACCTGTTGCAGTGAGCCTGCAATTTAAGTAGGCCTCTTGGTATTAAATGCAGCTTTCTTTTTGTTGGCATCTCAGGGTCTTCTACTGTCTCATTGTGAGGTCTTTTCCCCTTTCCAAATCAATTCTCCAGTGACATTTGTTTTTAACTCATTTTGCCAAGGGTTAGCTGCGGGCTTCCCAAACTGTCACATTTCTCTGCCTTGGTATCTGTTGTCCTCCTTGTGGTGCTCCCAGCACACACAGGTGACAGGAGCTAGGCTGTGGCAGAGCCACCTGGGAAACCAAGTCATGGGTTTTTCTCCTTAGTTAGACCCTGTGGGCTTGTGAGATGCTCCTTTGCCCAGAAGTCTGTCCATACACCCCAGGCTAGGCAGTCATCCAAGCTGAGGTGTATCCTTGATCACATTGGCCAACAGGAAAAGCAAAGAGACCCCTGAACTCTGTGCTAGCTGTAGACAGAGGGCAGGAGAGTCTAACAGTCCATGGGACTTAATGCAAGCATTCTCAGACCCTGTCCCCTCCAAAGGTCACGGTATCATCCTGGATTCTCAACTTGGATGGCAGGATCCCTGATATCTTTCTAGCCTGAGCTTACACTTCTCAGAAGGGTCTATGTCTAGCTTCTGTCCTCTCCACAACTCTGCTATGGCTGTCTCCCACCCAGTCACTGTGGTAGGGTGACCCCAGAAACTCTGAAGTGTAGGTCTGTCTGAAATCTTGGGAGAACCCTTCTCAAAATGGCTCCTGGTTAAATTTTTCAGATATGGTGGGTGCTGCACTGGATTTCTTCTCTACCTGTCATGTGGAAGGAATCACTTTCAGGGTAAAACTTCTTGCTGTCAGGAAGTTTACAATAACCGCACATTTTTCTCGGGGCTGACACTGCCGGCCCAGTCTGTTGTTTCTCCCTAGAGCTGCCAACCTTCTTTGGGTTTACCTTGTGTCAATGGACACATGTCCTCTGCCCTGGGAGCCCAGGTTCCTTTCCTGACTGCTTTGTTCTTTTTTCTGCATTGTGTTCATTTTTTCCAGCTTTCTGATGTTTCTAGTTTTCAGTCAACTCCCTTCTAATTCCCAGATATCTACTTTTTTCTTTCTTTTCACCAAGTTTTATTTTCCAGATGTTTTGAGTGTGTCAGAGAGGCTGAGCTTGTCTCTCTTTTAATAGTTGTTTTTTTTAAATGATGTCTATGTGAAAATCTGTATATATGTATCTTGCCTGGAGTTCATTGAAAGTGTCAATTAACATTTTTAATGGAGGTTGGGTATGGTGGCGCATGCCTGTAATCCCAACACTTGGGAGGCTGAAGCAGGAGGATCGCCGCTGTGAGTTTGAGACCAGCCTAGGCTACATAGTGAGTTACAGGTTAGTCTCAACTACATAGTGAGACCCTGTCTCAAAAAATAAAAAACAAAACAAAACAAAAAACTGGAAAAAAATTTCAGTCATTGCTTTTTTCAAAAATTTTTTTCTCTCTCTCCCATGATTACCATGATGTGTATGTTAGCACTCTTCATGGAAAGCTTTTGAAGCTGTTTATTTTCTTTGTTCTTTTTTCTCCCTTTATCTAGTCTTCAGACTGGTTAATATCAATTCATTGACCTTTAAGCTTGCTCATTCTTTCTTCAGCTTGCTGAAATCTTGCTGTTTGGCCCCTTTGGCAAATTTTTTATTTTAGTTACTGTACTTTTTAACTTCACAATTTTGTTGGGTTCTTTTTCAATGACTTCTGTCACTTTATTGATTTTGTTTTGGAGATGTTATTCTAACATTTTCTTTAGTTTGTGGTGGCTTCTTAGTCATATGTTCTTTGAATATAGTTAAAATTGTAAATTTAAAGCTTGTCTAGTAACATCTGGGATTCTTCAGGACAGGTTACTCTCTTGTTTCTTTGAATGTTTCACACCTTTTTGCTGAATATTGGATATTTTAAAAACATGACATGTGAGTTTTGGAAATTGGATTCTGCTGCCACTCCAGAGTTTGTTATTATTACTGCTTATTGTAGTTGTGTAGTGACTTTTCTGGGCCAATCCTATGAAGTCTGTATTCTTTGTCATGTGTGGCTTTTGTGATCTCTGCTTGGGCAGCTTAATGGCCAGCTATGATTGTGTTGGGGAGGCGGCCTCATGAGTACTATCTCTTGACTCTCTGGTTGGATACATAAAAATGATCTTTGGATCTGGGAAATTTCTTTTGTAGGAGATAAAGAGCCTACACAGTTTGTGCCTTGTGTAAGAATTCTTTCCCTGTTGCAAATTCAATATCTATGCCTTTGTTCTGTGCTTATGTGTATGCATCAGTGGTCCTTAGTTTTTAGTTTTTCAGGCTCCATGGGGAATGGGGTGGGACTTCTTTAGCACAAGAGGGTACCCATTAGCCAATTACCTTGCATCAGCTATGGAGTGCTGGGACTCAGTAGCTATGGGGAAATAACACACACTATTCAAGCTGATCTTGCCTAGTCTCTTCTCTATGTAAGCAAAGCATTGCTCTGTCATGTATGTGACTTGTTGCACTTTCTTGGAGACCCCGACCAAGATTCAATGAGCAGATGTGTTTAGAGTCTGCCCCTGGAACAGTGCTCAGTACATGATGGCTATTCTGACCCTGGGCTTGATAACCAGTGCATAATGTTCTGTTTAGCAATGTGGCACAGTGAGCAGGTTTGCCAAAGAACAGGACCATTGTTCTAGGGTGGGGTCAGCTCCATGGGGCATGATGGGCTGACTGAGGTGCTGACCACTGTCTGGGTGCACAGGCATAAATGAGATGTGGCTCTAGCATGTATGTGCTAGAGATTATAGATGATGGATCCTGTTTGAATGGCAATTCCTTGCTTGCACTGGATAGTAGAGGAGACCAAGTGTCTTATGGCTGCAGTGCTATATGTAATACTACACCTGAACTACCCTCACTGAGGTGCTTTCACCAGATAGTCTAATGAGTATGGCACTGCCCACCCAGTGTTAGGTGTCCTTCCTTTTATATAATTCAGATGAGGGCATTGCATTTTTTGTTGGTCTGGTATGTCTGGTAGGTTCATTAGCCTGGTTTTCTCTGATATAATTTAGATATATAATGTGTCCGGTGTTCTTGAGTAATTTGGTAAGTTTATAGGTGGAATTTTTTTATTAATAAGATTAATTTGCTTTTCAGTTTATGCCTTTATGGCTGTGCTGTGAAGCTAGGAGTTGTTTTGTTTTTATAAGTTTGCTCTGTCTAAAATCTTGTTGGTTATTTATTTATACAGACAAGTTACCAAGTCATTTTGCCTCATTATTTGCACTAAAAATGGTACAAACCACTATTTTATAAAACAGAGCTACTCAGACAAAGCTCAGCCTGAAACCTATTAGTCTATGCAACACGGAGTAATTCATGGTGGGACACAGTCTGCTCTACGCAGTGGGATTTTGATTTTCAGTAGAGCTTGGGGGCTTGAAAGTGAGAGACTGGGCCAGGCTGAGTTAAAATGCCATAAACTCTCTGTTCTTGCATCAAATTTTTCCTCATTCTGCATAGTCTCAACTTCCTTTCTTTTCTTCTTACTTCCTTAAAATCAAGCTTCTTCCTCTAAGAAAAAAATGTGACTCTCACCCAAGGCATCAATAGTCATTTAATTTGTAAGTCCAGTGACATTTTTTGTTGAGTCTCAGTACTCAGTAGTTAACTCTTTGGACCAGAGTAGTCTTTCTTCTACCTTTCCTTCATGTCATTTCTATTCTTTTGCTTAGACAATAGAAATAGACCAGATTCGACCAGATCCAAATAAGCAGATGAGGAGTAGTAGGTGACCCGTGTGTCCCTCAACTTCTTGGATGGCTCCTTCAGGGCCTCCCAGGTGCTACCACACTCTGTAGCCACAGCTAAGGCACACTCTTCCTGCTGGAATCAATTCATCCTCCCACATTTCCAGCCACCTTTGGGATCACCAGCCTGAAAAGCAGGCAGGAACCTGATCTGCTCCCCATGTACATCTCTCCTGGTCCACCTCCAGAATGTCTCTTGGTGCCAGCTTTGATTGTGTCATCTGTGCTTGAAGTATTCCCTCTACCAGGGCCCCTGTTATCATCCTGAGAAGAGCAAGACAGTTGTTTGAAATCTACACACATTTGGACATCTGTGACCCACTGAAGACCATTTCAAATTGTGATATAAGTTTTGAAGCTCTGCTTGGTGGCTCTAGCCACCAAGGCCAGGGCTCTTTGCAGCCCATATACCAGCACAGGATGGTGAAGAATGAGACCTCAGTGCAGTAGAAGAGCGAGTTTATTTGGTGTGGACCATGGGATGTTTTCATGGCTGATGAGAAAGGAGGGTGAGCAAGTTCCTTGGGAAGAAAGTAGCTTTGTCATTTCCCAGCGCATGGGCCATTCTTCTGGAATCTGGGCAAGAGCAAGAAATGCTTCTGTTGGAGGAGAGTGTAGAAGAGAGACTCAAGGTCATTGACTTTATTGGTGGTGGCCCAACATCAAACCTGCCCTCTAGGGGGACACGAGGAGCCTGAGGTTGGAGCTCCTTGTGGCTGAGTTTTAGTGAATGTGTGACTATACCTATGTGGACTTGCATGCAGTGTCTGCATGCGTGTGCGTGTATACATGAGTGTGCTGTATGAGAATACCTGCATCTGTATCATCATGTGTTTGTCTGGCATGTGTGTGTGTGTGTGTGTGTGTGTGTGTGTGTGTGTGTGTGTGTGTAAGACCACATATGTTTCTCTTTGTGGCTGTGTTGCTGTCAGCTTCCTGTGGACATCTATGTGCACTTCTGTGTGTATCTATGGGAGTGCTTGTCTCTTTCTTTGGATGTGCTATAATTTGGATCTCAAATGTGTTGAAGGCGTGGTCTCCAGATGGTGCTGCTGTGGGTGGGGTGGAGCCCTTAGGATGTGGAGCCTAGTGGGAGGTCTTCAGGTCACTGGAAGTGTGGTCTTGAAGGGGATAGTGGGACTCCAACCCCTGCTTCTTTCTCTGTTTTCTCTGTGGCTGATGAGGGAGTGGTTTTGCTGTCCATGTGCCCGCACCATGATGTACTGCCTCGCCAAAATGTAGGGCCAGTCAGTTATAGATGAACCTCCAAAGCTGTGAGCCAAAAGGAACCTTTCCTCTCTACCGGGTGTTTTCTCTAAAACCCCAGCTGCCTTCTACCAGAATAACAGCAGCCCCAAACCCTGTGGTGCAGGGAACAGCACTTACAGCTCAGCAGAGGTCAGGTCCCTTCCTGGGAGGCCTACACCTTGACAACGAGTTGTACCCCATGGATCAATGAGTCTGGAAAATAAAAATGCCAGATCTGGAGGGAAAGGTGTCCAGGAAGAGCCCATATCCTGCAGGGGACAAGACCAGGGACTGAGAGCATTGGAAACCCAGTAGCACTCAGGTGGGTGGGAGGGGCTGGGCTTCTTTCTAACATGCAGCCCTGCTGTTCTCAAAGTCAGGGCTGAGGGAGAGGTGGACTATCTACCCCCAAATTATGTGGATAATTCAGAGGAACAAAGAAACCCCAAACATGGAAAACTGGGGCCAGAGGGATGTATGGTCCCATAATGTGTAGGCACAAAACTCCTTGGAGCAATCTCTACTTCTAAAGCATATTTACCAACAATGTCATGAACCAGTGTGATGTCCAAGAGGCTGAGCACCTCGTTGACCAGAGGGCACACCTACCAGGGGCAGAGAGGAGAGTTAGGTCAAGGGCACCCATAGGGAGACCCCGAGAATGGCAGCACCCCTGGGTAGGTTTTCTGGGGAGATTTTTTTCTCAATTTTCGGTGTCTGAGTGTTAACTAGATTAATTGCCTAGATTAATGTTCACACATACACATTAAGCAGAAGAGAAACTGAAGGCAGGTGAGTTTATAAAGTTCCCCAAGTAACACAACGAGCCCGGGGTGCCCTCTTTGATGACATATCTGTGGAGTGCTCTGGGAGGGATGAGTTTCTGGTTATAGGAGCTACCTGAGCATGGCCTGGAGGCTGCTTGTCTGTGCCTGGAGGACTGGGCAGGGGGCTTCTTGGGGAAGGGTTCAACTCATATCCACTGTGGTGTAGACATGCATAGGACCTGGCCCAGAGATGGAGCCAATGAATGCATTTGAAAGGAGACAAAGAAAAAGCTGGACAGATGGACCAGATAGATAAGTTGATGGATAGAGACTAGCTCTTCCCAGGCCTAATTTTCACCTTGAGACACCCCAAGCCCTGTGGAGCAGAGGACTCTCATCCTGCCCTCTTACCTTGCCTTGCACCAGTTCAGGGAGGACTTTATTGAAGATGTCTGTGAGGCCATCTAGAAGGCCTTGAATGGGCTGAGGAGCAATTCTGGAAGAGAAAAGCCATAGCTTGGAGAAGTTCTTAGAGGGCCACTGTCCACCCTGTCTCGGCAGCAGTAGCGGAGACCTGGCCTGTCCACTCACCCCAGCAAGCAGGCAAGGGGCAGGCCCTATCTGCAGGGAGCCATGCTCCTCACAGCAGCACCCACAGTTCCAGGACACAGTAGGTGTTTAGCAAGACTTTGCAGAGTCCACCAATGTGTAAACAGGACTTAGTATATAGTTATGTTATGAGTACTTTGAGATGATACACATGAAACATAGTATGTGTTCAGTGCAAATTAGCCAAGATCTGAATAACTTGCATAGTGTACATGACTCAGTCTCCCCACATGACAAGTAACTGAAATAAGTAACCTAGAATAGGTGAGAATCTATTAAGCTCAGAACCTTTTCCTTCCTTCCTTCTTTCTTTCATCTTTTCCTTCCTTTCTCTCTTTCTTCTATCATTCCTTTTTCTGAGATAGGGTCTCACTGTTGCTCAGGCTGTCCTTGAACTGGGCCCAAGCAATCCTTTCACCTCAGCCTCCTGAATAGACCCTCCTAGGGCTACAGGTGTCTACCACCATGCCCAGGTTAAACTCAGATTTCTTGTTGTCTGATCCAACATAAAAATCCAGTCTTCCAGGCTTAACAAGGTATAAGTGACTATTTACACACCCACTTACTTATAAATCTGTCCACACATCTATCTGTCCATCCATCCTTCCCTCTACCCATCTACCCATCTACCTAACCATCCATCCATCCTCCCTTCTGTCCTCTTACGCATCCATCTTCCCATTGTTCCATTTCTCTAACCACTCATTCCTCATCCCACCCTGTTGTCTCTGAGCTGAAGAAGGGAGCCCTCTGGTCTCACCCTTTAAGCAGGTAGATGTGCAGGCTTCCGGGGGAGTGGGTGCAGTCACCAAGGACCAGGTGGACCCTCCCCTGGTTGTCTCTCTTAGTTAAGACTTCTGCAGTGATGTTTAGCCTCAGGCTCAGCTCCAATAGACTTGTGACCATGGGTCTGCAGAGGAGACAGTCCTACTGGCATGTGGCCCCACCACATTCAAGGTTTTTTCTTGTCGGGAATACCAGCCCCAAGTTACTCTTCTCCGCAATTGTACTCTTTTTACCTTCCAGTATGGAACACTAGGGCTCAAATAGGTCAAGCGAGTTTCCCACATGATCCAAGGTATTCAGCATAACAGCAAATAAGCTGAAGTTTCTGGCTCAGATCTGTTACACTCCAACACCCCCTTTTTGGCTACTCACAGAAACCAGGGTTTCCCTTGATGAGCCACCCTTCCACCCTCCCTGGACCTACTCACAATTTCAATTCAAGGTTCAGGCCCAGAGGGATGGTGACATAGAGGCGATGGCCATCAGGGCTCTGTACAAGGCCAAGTTCCAGCAGCTGGGGATTAGTGATCTTCAAGCTGTTCAGTGAACAACATTGGAGGGTGAAACATTAGTTCCTTGGGCTCCAAACCCAGAAACCCAAATTTATCCATGTCATAGGGGAGCTTCCAACCTGAGAAGAGGGAGATAGGAGAGGAGTATTGCAGCCAAAGCCACATAGGCTCTGAGTCCCACACCCACCTTTCCCAACCTCTGCCCAGATCAGGTCCTGACATTCGCACTGTCTTCATCTCAAGTCTGTGCAATGTTTGGGACAGGACCTATGTTGGGGTTCTGTTTATGTCCTGTGTAGCTCTGTGCCTTACAGAGAAAGTGACTATGGGTGAATGGGAAGGTGGGTAGGTAGATATGTGGGTGGCTGGATGGAAGAGGAAGTGGTTAGATGAAAGGAAGGATGAATGAATGGTGGATGGATTGGTCAGTGGGTGAAAGGATGATATGCAGACAACTGGAATAAACCTTGCATAGATATTTATAGGTGGGAACCACTCATCCTGTTATGGCCTTCAATCTTTAATGCTTATCATGGGGATGGCAGAGTAGGAATAAGGGAGAATGAAGAAAAGGTGAGAGGAAGCCTTCTGAGTCAGCCATGGTGCCAGGTGATTTATATCTTCTTCCATCTTCCCAACAGTCTTTCTCTGTGAGTACTACAATTTCCATTTTCCAGATGGAGACCCAAGCTCAAAGAGTCTGAGAACCTTGTCTCAGGCCATCCAGCAAGTATGGTACAGTTGTAAATCAAACTCAGGTCTGCCTGTCTGTCTTCAAATTAGGGAGCAAGCATCGGGTGGGTGGAGAAATGGCTTTGATCCAGCCCTATCAGGGCCCCAAGTTTTGCCAGCACACTGGTGTCCAGCTTTCCATTATTGCTTCTTGCTTAGCAGGCTTTCTTCAGGTATCTCACAGAAAATACCATATGAGATTTTTCCAACATCACATTGCTCATAGTCACTGTGATGATATAGTTAAGAAGTTAGCTCACCTTCCTCTGCTTCTATCAAAGGCCACTTGTATTCTAAGTGATTCCACAGGTGGGGGGAAAAATGACCACACTGTAGTAGAAATAGATTTGGCTGTGGGCTTAGGTAATTTAGAGTCCTCATTCTCCCTGCCTACATGTTTCTGTGCCTCAGCTCCCCCATCCGTGAATTGGGGATGATGAAACTGATCTTGAAGAGTTGTCATCAGGCTTATAGACATTTCTGGAACCCCAGGACATGGTTGAGGCCTAGGACCAATTACTGATACAGGAGCCCAGTGTTCCCTGCCAGGCTGAAGAAGGATTTCAGTGATACCGGCTCCAGGTTAGACTACCTTCACCCTTCTTTGGGACCACTACCTGTGACTGGCAGATCTTTGACTGCTGGTGGAGATCAATGCCCTATTTTAGGGCAACTTACTCAATGATGTTCAGGAGAGAGATCCCTGAATTCAGTGTTCCAAGTAGGCCCCCAAGCAGGCCACCAGAAGTGCCTCCTCCGGGCTTCAGGATGTTCAAGAGTGGAAGGTTTTCCAGAATGCCCAACAGACCCCCTGAGAGCAGGCCATTGGTGAGGGCTGAAAAAGATAGAAGGTCTCTGGAAGTCAGACCCTCAGGCCTTCCTCTTACTGGATGGTTGCACATACACATGCGCACATGCACATATATCTGAAAGAGGCTGTCACGGACTCACCACCAGTCAGGGTTCCAGCAGGGTCCTTGTGCTTCGAGGGCAGAGCTGGAGTCACATATAAGGGCAGGCCTTGGCCCAGGGGCAAGGGCTGGCCCTGCCCCAGGGGCAATGGCAGCCCCTGGCCCACTGGCAATGGCAGGCCACCGCCAAGCTGGGCTGTGGTCTGGGCCAGCAGCCCACAGAAGACAATAAGGCCCCCAATTTGAAACATTTTTCTTGGTATCTGTGGACAGAATGACAAATCCAAAGTAGCACAGAGGAATCTGCTCAAGGCCTAAACTCCCATCCTGGGAAGGAGTTTCTTTTTTCTTCTCTAGGACAACAGGGGGTGACTGGTGACAATAACAAACACTGTTGGAGATTTCTCTGTGTCAGGCAACAGGTCAATCACTTTACTCGGTAACCAGTTTCACCTTCATTGCATTCTAAGACGTGGGCACCTGTTACTGCATCACACAGCTAAGGAATCAGGGACCTAGTGACTGAGGTAATCTCCCAAAGTCTCAAGCACACAGTGGTGAGAGGGTTTGAAGCCGAATCTATTTGACCTAGACAGTGCTAGTAGGCAGTGGCCAACAGATTCACTTTCCAGTTGGGTTTGCTGGTGATGGCTTGAGTTCTTGCCCTTCCAGCAAACCAGATGGAAAGGCTCACACATACTGGCAGCTGAAGACCTGAGCTGCTTTGCCCCCATCCCTACTCGGTCCTTTGGTTTGGGTTTTGGGGTGATTTCTAGATGCCCCACAAGCCATACAATGTCAGAGTTGTGTAGGTATAGCCACCATCTCAATGCAGACCTGGGCTGGGGAATCCTGGGGTCACCCAAAGACCTCAGTGTACATAGAGAATCAAGGGAACAGAGGGGACAGTGACTTTCACATAGCAAAGTGATGGCAGTGCCATGCTTGGAGGCAGGTCTCTGAACCCTTCTCATGCTGCCCGGGCTGGATGAGGAGGATGACCCTGAGGTCTGGGAACCTGCTACTTCCCAGATACTACTGATCACTTTGCAGGTCTGTTTGGCAGCCAGCAAAAGTGTCCAAAGCCGGAGTTAGTACCTATGCTTTGGAGATGACCAGCTGATTTAGGTAAAATTCCATCAACTATCACTGAATGTCTTGGGCAACCTTTATCAGTCTAATGGCAGCTAAAGACAATGGATTTAGAAAAATTCATCAGAATGTACAAAATTGGATGAATGATCTTAAGAGGTTTGTGGGTAACCAGCAACTTCACATTAAAATTCTTGCCTTGGAGCTTCTGAGTTAGGGTGTAAACAGTGCTCATTTCTCTACAGGTCTGGTCTCTTAGGAGAGCAGAGTGCATGGCCATCTCCATGTGCCTGGCCAGGGCAAGCCTTGTTTCCTTGCAAGAACCCCAGTAAATAGCCCCAAATGTCATCTGTCCATGCCCACCCACATCAAGGAGCCTGGCATCTCTGTCCCCTGGGCCAGAAGAGCCACAGCAGAAGAGGTGGGCCTCACCTGGGTTTCACAAGATCTCAGATGCTGTCCCAGCCTCCTTCTCTCTCTGCCTGCCTTTGCTGAGGAGGAAGCCACTTTTATAGTGTGAGAATCAGGAAATGTGGGACTGGATGATGAATTTCTAGATAATTGGGAATTGTGCCATCCAGTGGTATCTTTCAGGGCTCTGCAAAGTAAATAATTAACAATCACCTCGGCAGGTGAGGCAGCTAAACTATTTGGTCCCCAAGTTAAACAGAAAAACTTGAGATGAGGATGTTACTCAAGACCCATGGTTTCATGCATGGGGCTGACGTGGGAACTCACACTTTCAGAGGACCAGGAAGATCAAGTCTGGGGCACTGGGAGAGGCAGCCTGTGGGACCCCAGTAAGGGACCTCAGTCTCATCCCTCCACCCCCTTCCTTCTCTGGACTGGTTAATTTTTTCCAACTGGAGAAATCCTGCTTCTACAATGTCAAGAGTCAAACTGCTTCCCAATCTGCCTTCTTGATCTTGGGGTGTCTCTCAATCCCAGAGTTGGGTTTTTCTGTTTTCTGAACCCCTAGTGCACGAGTCATATGACCACAATCCTGGGAGGGGAAAGACACTTCTCCTCTTTCACAGAAGAGGAAACTGAGGCTTCACAGAGACAAGTGACCAAGAGAGGATGTGGCTGAGTTAGAACTCAACTCATTGGATAAGAATGGCTATAAACACAATGTCAAGAGCCAACGCCCACTCAGCTCATGTCATGTGCCAGGGCCCCACAGCTCTATGTTCAGTTTTTACCTGGCTCAAAGGGCACTCAGAGAGTGAGGAGACGCGTCCCGGGCTGCACAGCTGGTGTGGGTAAGATAGTCACATCAGGTCTTTTTTCTTGATCACTGTGCTCAGCTGAGGCTGAGATGCCTTCTCCATGCCCTCTGCCTGTTTTGATTTCCCACATCTGTGAAGTTCATGATCACACACTTTCCACTTTTATGTTCCGGAAAAGTCTCTCTAGGTTCCTAGGCCTGAGGGATCCCATGTACTCTGGTCCCTCCCTTTGCACTTCCTTGTATCTTTCCCTAAGGGAATGATAAGACATTTGTCTTTAACACTTGGGTGGCTGGGAACTGCTTTACAAATGGAGACACTGAGGCACAGAGAGGTCAAGGTCCTGAATCTGTGAGAGCAGCTCTTGGCTTGCAGAATCTGCCACCTTAGAAGTAGAAATGGACAGAGAAGAAAGAAACACGCTCTTATTAAGCACCTATTATTCTGTGTCCAGTGCTTTCCATCGGTGACCTTTATCAGGAGTGGTTGGTATTGTCCTTCATAGGTCATACGAGGAGACCACAGATCAGAGAGGGTGAACTTCCCAAGGACACACAGCAAGTGAAAGTTGAAGTCCACTCAGCCCCACCTCTTGTCTGCCTGACTCCTTGGGATCAGTGATCCTCTCTGCCTTTCCCTCACACCAAGCCTTCCCTAGGCCCGCTCCATGGCCTGTGAGTGTCTAGCCAGTTCTCGCCCAGCTACTTGTGGGGCAGTAGCTTTGAACTTGACTACCACTTCTAGGAGCTTCTGGATCTTCTCACAGCTTGTGTGTACGAGTCATCCTCCAAGAGGTACCCCTTTTCATTGTCTTCGTACAACTCTTGGGCCAGGTCAGGCTGCTACTAGCTTTGTGGGGAAACAAAAGCAGCGTTCATGCAATCAGGTAATGAAAAATTTTTTTCTTCTGCTTCAAATCCAGGAGGCTGTGTGTTATGGCAGAAAAGAGGACGACTGAGGTACTTGTTCAAATCCTGTGACCTTGGGCAAGTCATGCCAGCCTCAGAAGTTCAGCTTCTTCATCTGTGAAGGAACTGCTATGAGCCTCCCTTCATACACCCAGGGTCTCCACCTTTTCCCAGTGTATCTATGATTTAGTTACCATTCCAAATGCCATTTCACTTAGCAATGGAAATTTGCTCATTTTCTCTTGGGGTTTCATTTTTGTTCCAGGGCTTCATTTATGTCAAGGTTCTCCAAGGAGGCTGCCTTGTCCTTGTGTTTGGCTGTAAATGCAGACTGCTGAGACACTGTCCCTCCCTCCTACCATCCTTTGGATGTAGCATTTACTTTCCCCATTTAGATCCAGAATTGTTCTGTGTTCTTCAGACCCTTGGCCTCGGGCAGAACTGCGGGTGGCTGTGCAAACTCAGCTGCCTGGGTCCACCTAGATTCTCTGGTTCACTTCCTCTTCCAAGGGCCATCTGTCCTGCCTCTGGGAGGGGATGTGGGCACAGACAGCCACCCTCTGTTCTCTATCCTGCAGTCTGCATGTGGTTTTTGGAAGCCCTTGTCCTAATGTTAGGATTGGCCAGAACCACCACAGTTGTGTTCTCTTCCTGTGTCCTGGACTCTCTTGCTCCCCAAATCTGGTGGGGAAAGTCTCATCTTGGGGTCCAGCCCTGGCTTCTCATCCTGACACAACTGGAGTTCTTCTTTTTTTTTTGGTACCAGGGATTGAACTCGGACCTTGCGCTTGAGAGGCAAAGGACTGGACTTCTTAATGCCTCCTATGCCTGGGTTTTAACGTTCCTAAACCCAGGCTCTAAACACATGCACATGCACAGAGAGCAAAGGTGACTTTTTCACTCGCTGTACAGTTCTCTGGATTCTAATGGGTGTATTTTTATGTAACCACCAAGCAGGTCCCATCAACCCCAGACAGTGCTGTGCCTGGCAGCTCCTGCTTTCTGTCTGTAGCGTTGTATTACTATGTCTTTGATGCCCTGGGGTCTGTGTGCTCCACACCCTAGCAGGGAAACAATCTGCAGCAGCAGGAAAGGAGGGAAAGGACACATTGCTGACATTTTCAGGACCTTTGTCCTACAGAGGTGACATCCATACAGGTCAGATGAGTTTTTCAGAAACTGTGAGGGGTGTCTTTTCTGCCTCCTTGCCAACTGTGATTGTATTTGGGAACATTTATGGGTGGGGTTTTGTGAACCAAGGGCTCCATTTAAAAATTGTAAAAGAACCAGGGGCAGAAAGACAAATACCATGTGTTCTCATTAATGTCAGATGTTAAAAAGTCCATCTCCCAGGTTGGACTAGTTCCTCGAGACTAGACTGACTTCCTTCCTTTCTTCCTCCTCTTCTTCCTCTCCCCTTCTTTCCCTTCCTATCTTCCATTGCATTCTTTGTCAAATGACTCTGACACAAACAAAATTTATTTGCCAGAACTTGGGAATGGAACGCTGACTTGCTGTCCAGGGGCAAGATCAGGTTATGGGGTCAGTTTGAGAGGGGTTTTGGATGGGCTTGGACACTCCAGAGGGTTCCAAAAGAGCCGAGCACCCCAGCTTTGATGAGAAAACCATGTTCTTCCTCAGAGTTCGTTTCAGGCAAGCTTCTTTGCCATGGAGGTTGGTCTTCCCACTTGCATTCAGAGCAGACCCCAATAATGGCCTTTGTTGAGACACTAGAGGAGCTTTATACAATCTGTAACGACCCTGTGAGGGAAATCGAGGCTCAAGGAGGGCACCTGCTCAAGGCTCCCTGAGCTGGGAAAAGGTGAAGTCATCCTGTCCTTTGGGGCTGCCCAGCTTCAGTCCTCTTCAAGGGCAAGCTGGTTGTCAGTCTTTGGCTCAGAAAGCACCTGCCTGTGTTCTTTGGAGACCATTGTGGGCTGTGATGTCAGACAGTTCTGAGCTCCAATCTGGTCCATTACTGTCTGTGTGATTGGGCAGGACTTTCCTCCTCTTCCTCAAAGTTTTGAACATTTTTTTATGCAAGAACATTTAACAGGAGCTCTAGCCTCTTAGCAGACTTTTACACACATGATATAATTCTGTACACGTTGAGCTCAGTTTCCTCACCTATAATTCGAGGCCTTGGAAGGTTAAAATTGCGAGAGACAAATGTAGCCCTGGCTTCATACCTGGAACAGAATTGGTGCCCTGTGCTGGAAGGGCATGGAAGGCACAGGACATATGTGATAGAGCCTGGACAAAGGTTCTGAAGATTTGGGGCTAGATTTCTGCTTAAACCACCTCATGGGGACCACAGTGTCATCAGAGGCCCATTATTCAACAGGCTTTTCTGGGAAAAATCATATTGAGTCTAGTGTTCTGTGACCCTTAAAAGAAGAAAATTTGAGAAGCCCAAGGAGGTGTCTTGAGGAGCACTGAGCCATCCAGGAGGGGTCGGGGGAATGCAGACAAAAGATGTCTTCACCAGAACCAGGCAACCTTGTCAGCCCAGCCCGCCCTCTGTGTTTGCATTTTGGCTCAGGAGCAGGAAGAACCCCTTGAGCTCGAGGCTGTGAAGGGATCTGGGAACGTGGGAGTTTAGGGTTGCAAATCCCCACCGAAGCGTTTCGGATTAAGGAGTTTGAATTGAGAGATGGAGACAAGAAGCTCTCTGGCCCCATTCTCATCTCTGGGCTGTTGACACTTCCTTGTTTGAACTTATCAGTTCGGTGGAACACTGATTTTATCATTTCTCCCTTTCTGCGTGAGCCGGGGGTGCAGGGGGGAACGCTGAGGGGGATTCACAGAGGTCAGGGACATGAGCTCTAGACTCTGGTGGCTGGTGTAAGACCTAAAGTCTCACTTCCACTCTGAGGAGCGTGAACAGCCGAAAGGACTTCATGATGCTGAGTCCTATAGCCCAACGAGGGCTCTGAATACAAGACCCAGGGCCTTACTTCTGGGAGCCTTGAACAAGCCCAAAGGGCCTCCAAGATGCTGGGACCTATAGCTCAGCAAGGCTCCAGGAGCTCGATGGAGGAACGAGAGTCACCCAGGAACACACCAGGCTTGTTGGTAAATACAGCTTTATTAGTCTGGCCAGATGGCACTCCCGGAGCCAAGTAGCTCAGGAGCCAAGTAGCCCAGAGCCAAGTACCAGCTCAGGGGTTTACAGTTTTTAAAGGCAAGGGGGAGAGGATTATAAGCACAGCAAGTGGGCAAGGAGTCAGGGGTCAGTTTTCTGCTATCTATCTCAGGGGGTCGGGTGTAGGGCCTGCCTGGTCTCTTATGTTGATCCTCTCTAGACCTCAGGATGTTCTGTTCTGGTGAGGCCTCGAATCACTATCTTGTT